ACATACATGAATAAAAATGGGCTAATTTAAGTTATTAGAGCTAGCAAAAAATAAGCCTAAGCTATTGACAAAGCATTTACAATTAATAATAAGTCTCTGTGTGGTTATTTGGCAACTGACTGGTAAAACAGATAAGTCTGCCTACATGTGGCCCCCAAAGTAGGGTACCTACATCCCCATAAGACCTGAAAAAAATCTTTAAAAAAAAGGTCCTGAACACAAAAACATGGCTTCCTTGTCTCATGTCTCTCATGTCAACTGCAGTACAGAGATACATCTCCCAGCTGCTGCCTTCTGGCTTGAGCTGCCAGTGTAAGTGCTGCCAGAGAGAGCTCCACCAGAACACTATGAACTAAAATGCATGGTGAATTTAAGTTTTGCTCATGCAGACAGAAAAGTATACAGATATGCATTAGAGACAAATTAAGAAGGAGAAAAACCGGGAGCCTCTTTTGAAAGGAAACGAAGAGGACTGCGAGCGGGAGGAGCTGGCGCCGGGGGTCCAGCCGAGCCACCCGGCTACGATGGCCAGTGCTAAGACGGTGTGCGACGCGCAGCCCCACTCGATGCCGATCGGCGGCCTGCCCGCAGATGCACAGACTCGAGCTACTTCTAAACTACCTGTTAAGTCCAAAGAAGCTGACGTGTTTAGACATCTTCATCCAGGAGGTTCAGATCCTGATGTTACAAAGGCCACCAAAGCAAGACGAGAGAATGGGCAGGTGAGAGCTGCAGAGACCGTCAGCAGGAAGAGCGTGAAGAAGAGCTACAAACCGTTGACTAAGCTGAAACCAGAGGAGGAGTGGAAGGATAAGAACCAGCTCCTGGAGGCCGTCAACAAGCAGCTGCACCAGAAGTTGATGGAGACTCAGGGAGAGCTGAAGGACCTGACCCAGAAGGTGGAGCTCCTGGAGAAGTTTCAGGATAACTGCTTAGCAATTCTGGAGAGCAAAGGCCTCAACCCAGGCAACGAGACCCTGGCATCACAGCGGGAACCTGCCCCAGATCACACGGACTCCATGATGCTGCTAGAAACTCTGCAAGATGAACTGAAGGTTTTCAATGAAACTGCCAAGAAGCAGATGGAGGAGTTACAGGCCTTGAAGGCGAAGTTGAAGTTGAAAGAAGAAGAAAGGGTGCAGTTCCTGGAGCAGCAGACCTT